GTAGACATTTAATATCTGCTATACGTATAGCTACAAAAAAGTTACAAGAACAACACTTGACCATCGGTGATTTTTACTATGTATGGACTCTTTGAATATTAGAAACTTCAAAAGTAAATACGATATTAGCAAACTTCAAAAATAAATACGATATTAACAATCGATTTTGTTGATGCAATGAAGAAATATCAGACGCAACTATTTCAAAATATCTTCCTTGCGGGAATATTTTGGATGTCAAATACAATGTTGTATTATCATCACAAGAAATCGAACAGGCTAACAAATAACATTTAATAAATATATGGAATTAGCTTACGAAAATTCAGACATTAAATAATCCAAGAATTAACATTGCCTCAACATCCTACTATGAAAATAGATGTGATTCGGATGTGGATGAAATTGAAATTTTAATGAAAGAATTTGAACAAAAAAATGAAAGAAAAGAACGAAATCTCCATCATGTCTTATTATAAAAAATCATTTCTCAATTCTTTTTCTCAGTTTTTCTTTATCCCGTTTGAAATCAAAAGAAAGTATTTTACAATTTTGAAAGAAAAATAAACGTTCAATTTATATAAACCGATTTATATAAATTAGCTAGTATTAGCTTATATTAGCTTGTATTAGTTCTTTCCACATAAGTTAGTGTTGAACGGTTATTTTCATCATTAAGATATGTTTTATCACCTCTTCATAGTAATTTAAGCGAAAATATAATAAACGATATATTATTAATTCGAGCAAATGCAGAAAAATAAAATTATAAATAAATATTAGGTGTACAACTTTGCTTCCGCCGTTTTCCTATAAATGGCTTTAGCGGTAAGTGGTAGTCGAAATAAATAGATCATAGACGTCATACAATAAACTTGGGCATCTGTCAACATAATCCCATAGAAACATTAGTCGATTTGTGTCTGCATCATAAAGTTATTCTCGATTGAAAATGTCAGTTTCCGAGCCAAATTCTCGTCATTTGCGGGAGGTTTTAATTTTTTGCTTCAATATGAAGAAATCTGCGGCTAAGGCTCATCGAATGCTCTCAAATACTTATGGTGAGGCCGCTATTAGTGAAAGAACGTATCGTGAGTGGTTTCAACGTTTCAAGAACGGTGATTTTGAAGGTCAAGGTCCAAGGTCATGGGCTGTATTTGGTGGGACCAGCTCGGCGTAGTGTATTATGAACTGTTAAAACCGACTGAAACAGGCGATCGGTATCGAACGCAATTGATGCGTTTGAGCCAAGCATTGAAAGACAAACGGCCGTAATACAACGAGAGACACGATAAAGTGATTTTGCAGCATGACAATGCTCGACCCCATGTTGCAAAAGTGGTCAAGACATACTTGGAAACGTTGAAATGGGAAGTCCTACCCCACCCGCCGTATTCTCCAGACGTTGCTCCCTCTGACTATCACTTGTTTCGATCAATGGCACACGGACTGGCTGACCAGCATTTCCGGTCTTATGAAGAAGTAAAAAATTGGATCGATTCTTGGATAGCCTCAAAAGATGACCAGGTTTTTCGACGCGGGATTCGTACGCTACCCGAAAGATGGGAGAAAGTAGTGGCCAGCGATGGACAATACTTTGAATCATAAATGTATAACCAGTTTTTTACAATAAAGCCTCGAATTTCGGAAAAAAACGGCGGAAGCAAAGTTGTACACCTAATAATATACAGGGTGCACCAAAATCCGGACAAATCAAACAATTTCTTTAAACAAATTTTTAATGAAGAATTAAATATTACAAAAAATCCTTTTACATGGTACTTGGAGATCCCGCAAGCATAATTATTCGATAAATCCCCGAATGACGACCTCAGTCTGAAGTGTTCGCACGCACTGTAATGTAGCGCTGTCCTGCTGACGAATACTGCCTCAATAATGACATCCTTAATGACATCACATTGAAATGACCGACTTGTTTGCGACCTTTTCAATTACACTTCACGTAGTAATCCAAAGGATTTAAATCTGGTTGTTGGAAGGCCAGAATGGGAGCCGAGGCGAGAAACTCGGCTTGCCCTGGCCTCAGAGAGCATTTGTTGTATCTTTAATGTGTACGATTTCTATCGAAGATCGGCAATTCAATGTATTGTTAGCTCGCTTACACCAACAATTTTCGCAACGATTGCCTTGAGTCATCCGAAATCAGCGCTTGAGCCCTTTCAATAACTGCGGGAGTCTTCATGGTACGTTCTTTTGACTTTTCCTCGCTGATATACCTTTGTTGAACTATTCTAAAGCCGTGTATTTTGCCACATCATAAACGGTTGATCCAAAGAATCGAATTATTTTCATTGCTGCGTCCAGCGCAACGTCTAGCGCAAAGACCTTCGATAATCGTGGCTCTTCGATTATACTCCGTACTTGGTTTCAATATCGCGGCCATTTTGAGAATATAACTGTTTACTAGAAGCATCAAGTTTTCTCGAACGTCAATAACATCTGGCGGAGGCACAATATAGCGGAAAATTTAAATTTAAATTTGTTCGGATTTTGATGACGCATCCTGTATATAATAGTTCAACATCTTTATTCAGACTGTAGTGTCACTTCACATATTTAATGTATCAATATTACATGCTGTGTGGGTACTGAAGAGAACCCAAATCTACGGTCGAAACATATGCGCATTTCTTATACTATTGCGAATTTTTCTATTGTGCACTATTTCGATTTTATCATTGTAATGAATAATAATCATTTACGTACTTTTTGTGTTGGCTCATTTACAGATAGCTTCTACGTAATTGACTTTTTCATTCGTAATTGTTCATAAATTATGAAGTGAATGAATGACAATATGATTTTAATGGCACCAACGAACTCTTTTTTCGGCAGTTTTGTAAAATTTTTTATGTATTCCCATCTCTTTTCAATATCAATAATCGGTAAATTTAAAGGAACATTTCTGAAAAAAAATGTAAAAGAAATGTAAATCAAAGAAACAAGTACGTCAGACCCACACTAATTCCAGAAAGCTTATTATAACGTTCAAAGTTATTATTGACATGTAGTTGATAACAAATATTGTAATTTCGTTTCCTTTTATTTATTAAGTTGCAAACAAATAGAGATTATGATTAAATCGTTTTTTCATTATCATTTTTTAGCTTAATTAACAAATACGAGTGTATAATTTCATTTCCATCCGATCTTCTTTTATTAATTTATTTAATTATAATATGTTATATTAAAGCTGTTATATTTCTGCAAAATGCAGAAAATAACTACGTTCGATTGCCATTTAAAAAAAAAATCGCTAACATTTCTTGCGTTCAATGCACTAGTGCACTTTCGCGCCAAATGTTTAACATTCAGGCTGGACGATAAACAGGAACAATATGATCATGATAACAACATATCTCAAAAAGTTTTATATTAGAACTTTGCGTCGCAATATCTCTGCTCGTAGAGCGGAAATTATAGAAAAAAAAAACAAAAGTACAATTCGAGTGGAAGCTATCGATTGAGCGTGCATAGAACTTGATCAGTTCAGCTATTATTGAGATTCAATAATCTCGGTCCCCCGGAATTCGCAGTTTTACGTAAAGAAATACGGTTGCTTAGCGCTGAGACACTACTCTCCTGATCATTATTACATTGTTATAGTCTCATTCGTTTCAATAACATCGTGCTATTTATAATTTAATAATTCAAATTCTTTTACAAACGTTATTGTGAATTTTCCTAGCACACGGCAGCTAGATAGATATTGAAATTATATGTGAAATGAGATATATTCTTATAATTTTAATTTGAATTGCTCAAAATTATGTTATGTAACAGAACATTACTGAAGTAAAAATTTCACTAAACATAAAGAGCACATAAGAGTTACCGCAGTGAAAAATGATGTCAATTTGATTTAGGATCGACGTTAAAGTTATCAATTTGATGATGAATCAACGTTGATTCGAATTAATGATAGTTCTTAATGGAACATAATTTGAATGTTACTTATCTTTAGATTTAGGATTTTTTTTATTTAGATAGGAAGAGAGACTCGAGATCCGCTTATGAACCAGGAGGCTTTAGAGAATTGAGGAATCCCTTATCTCCACCCTTAAAATAAGGAAATGAATATGGGTGTTAACCAATTCAATATATCTCGTATTTTTCTTTTAGTACGATCTTCTCGATTTTTAGTACGACTCTATCACTACATGAAGAATTTATTGCCAAATATATTTATTTATTAAATAATAAAAAATTTAAAGGCTCATCTTAATGAAATTTGAAGACATCCAAATTCTAAAATTTTTTTTTTTACGACTACAGGCATGATTTAATCATGAATTTTCTACTAAATTGTTTTTAATCCAAGAACAATAAATTCATAATGGAATCAATAAATAACGTTTATTAGTTTAGCAAAAATACCACTATCTCATATTAGGCGCCTATTTCATAATAGGGGGCTTTCCTCTACATATGCACTCATTTTATTTTCATAATAGCAATCTATCCATTATAATTGATATCAATTTATAAATTTTCGTAATTACAAAATATTTTTTTAATTTACTCGGTAAATTTACTCTTTCTTTGTTATATTAAAAAAGGATTAAATGATCCATGAACAGGTTGACTACTATAAAAAATACACAAAATAATAATTTTAATGATAAAAAATTACGTATGTATGCACATAATATTATTGAAACTTATTGAAAAAAATAATTACAAATTCCTTAAACGTGATGAATGTTCTTTGTAGCTGAACTAGCATACGTTTGTTTTACTTGAAGTAAAATTATGTATATTTGAAATTTGGCGAAAGAGAATTTCAGTGCAATCCAGTACAGCAACAAAAAACAAGCTTATAGTTTATTCTACTATAATCGCTTATACATTGTACTTACACATGCAGTCTTATTTATTTATATTACACAACTACTGATTTATATGCATTACATACGAAAAATTAGACATATTAAAAAAACTTAAGTAAAATGTAAACAGTAAGTGAATTGACCAATCACATAAAACTCATAAGCAGCAACAAATCCAACATTTTGATTTCCTTACTGCTTACGTTTTATTGTTTAAGTTTTTTGTGTGGCATGGCTCTTACATTTTATTTAAAAAATCCTTTACTAACGCATGATAGTACATGTTAAAACGATAATTTATTCAATTTTTTAAGAAGCCAATATCGCTCGTCATATTCTCCAATTCAGTGAACATTTGGTCAAGATGCTAAAATAAAAGATATGAGATATGAATTTCCGCGTGCGTCTTCAGTAAAACATTGAAAGATTTTAAATGAATATAAAGGATATTTAACATAATTAATAACTAATTATGTGCTACACTTACATCCATTGGTTCTTCTTTGTTATCTTGTACTATTTCTGATGTCTTTGTTATAAATATTACGTTTCCATCATCGTCAACATCTTTAGCTTCATTGTTTTCTTCGATATCTTCATCATTATCGTCGTTATCATCATCACCGTCGTCATCATTATTGTCGTCGTCGTCGTCGTCGTCGTCGTCGTCGTCGTCGTCGTCGTCGTCATCGTCGTCGTCGTCATCGTCATCGTCGTCGTCGTCATCGTCATCATCATCATCATCATCGTCGTCGTCGTCGTCGTCGTCGTCGTCGTCGTCGTCGTCGTCGTCGTCGTCGTCGTCGTCGTCATTGTCAACGTCGTCATCGTCGTCGTCGTCGTCGTCGTCGTCGTCGTCGTCGTCGTCGTCGTCGTCGTCGTCGTCGTCGTCGTCGTCGTCGTCGTCGTCGTCGTCGTCGTCGTCGTCGTCGTCGTCGTCGTCGTCGTCGTCGTCATTATTATCGTTATCGTCTGACTGCATGTTACACATGTCTATTTCATCATAATCTATGGGTTCTTCTTTGATTTGTGTAAGCATCGTCGTTTCCTCGGTGGCATTAGTTTGTGTTGGACATGATAATGGATTTTCCGATGTTGAAGATATTTCAGAAGAAGCCTGTGATATTTACATATTTACAAAGATAGAAGTATTAATCTTCAGGATGATCGTAAAATATGTAAATTGTGTAAAACATTCGTTTTGTCTAATTAAATATATCGAAATGTATTCCAATAGTTCAGAGTTTTCCGAAATCTTGAAAAAAATTCTCTGAGAATTCTCTGAGAAATTCTCTTATCCCCAAATTTTCCAGGTATTCTTATTCAAAATTCAAGTAAAATTAGAAAATATTTTAATGAAACTTCAAAATAAATTGGAATGCAAGTATCGTAAACAAACTACAAATTGTAAAATTAAAAAACAGGAATTTCACAATCACATTATCTATCGTTTGCTACAATTGAAGCTATGAAATCTGTGGGATAAATATAGGGAAAGTTTAAGCTTGCGGTAAGTGATGCTTATTTTCCTGCTTGATTCCTAACTGGATTAGAATCTTGCCATCGTATTGATTGTAATACCGACAGTGTCAGTAGCTAATACAGTGACTAGAATTTATTCTAGCTAGCAATCCAGCAAGAAAACAAACATCTTGTATCACTGGCTTTACTATAATATCAATAAGTATTCCCTTCTACTGTATATGTTTTCTATTCTCACCTGTCACACTTTGACTTTTAAAATAAAAACATGCATGCACTCACGGGCGGTTTATACCAATAAAAGTAATATCAAATAAAATAAATAATCTATAAAAATATATTGCTCAATAAAAACAGAATGTTATGAACAACTTTCACATATAGTTTATTATAATATCCTCCTTAATATATTGTACATTTACTGCTTTACTATTCCTATACATTTACGTTTATGCAATTGTAGATCTGACTTAAATGTATGAGAAAATGTGTACCATGCTTATTGCTAATGAATTGACATCTTATATTTTTAAGAAAAAATGATGACAGAAACAATGTTTTCAAAAAGAGATCCGATTTAAATTTAAAAGTAAAATTCCAAAAATTTCTCTGAGTATCAATAAAATTTCATTTAAAAAAATCTAATTTTTCAGATCGAAAGAGAAATGCTCTGAAAACTGCAGATTTTCATGATTTTCAAAAACATTCTGTTTTTAAGTGATATTTGTTTCAAATTCATAATTACAATATATAACATAATATTATTAATATAACATAATAATATTGATATTGACTTTATATCTATTACCCAAAATTGTTGTTCTTGTATTGTCTTATGATTGATAGTGATTGAAGTTGGTACCAAAGAGGAATGAGAGTTCGTATTTTCCTCAATTTGCGAGATTGATTTATTTTGTGCTTTAATGGAATTGTCTTGTAACTGTGCTTCCATATTATTTGTATCTTGATTTGCTGATGATTTATCATGATTGACTTTATCCTCTTGACTAATGTTATTTTCTTCATCTTTTGACTTGTTAACATTAGATTTAAATTCAATGTGATTCATATTCTGTTCCCTTTTCACTTGTGTAATATTATTTGACTCTTCTTTAATTTTTTTAACATCAAGTTTAAGTTCTTCAGGAAGATAAGAATTGCCTTCTTTTCGACGAAATTTAACAATAATACTCCTTGTATCCCACATTAAACCATATGCTTTTTTGTAATCTGCTATCGCATCATCTACGCTATTATATCTCATAAAAGCAAATCTACAACAAAATGTAAATATAACAAGCATAATGTATAATATTGAAGATTATATATAATTACTCTATATCAATTATATAAATATTATATATAGTTCTCTCTATATGAATTATATATTTTTATATAAGATATTCATACTCACTGTGTGTTCTTTAATTTCCGTGCTCTTGATACATCAACTCGTGCTTTTGGAAATTTGCTTTTTATTTCATTTGCCTTAATGAATGTAGATAAATTTCCTATATATAAATTATAAGGATTTATGTCTTCGGGCTTCGTATTTCGGACATCCTCGTTTCTTACAGCTTTTTTTTCAACTTTTAAGTATCCTGTACCAAATTTGATTTTTTCTAATTCTCTCATAGCTTCATCAATATTCACATTCTTTGCCATATGAATGAAGCAATATCTTGGACCACTAGGATTTTGAAAATGTATATCTCGAATACCAGGATGAAATAATTTAACAATGTCCTTATTTAAGTCTGGATCGGGAAACTTAATTATTAAGCTCTGCGCATTAACTTTATTCTTCATATTATATTCGTTTTCAATCATCAGTGCTCTCTCTGCATCCTCTCTATTCCATGGCTTACTAGGATAGCTTTGAGACATTGGCTTTCTTTGTTTATTCTTCTTTATTATCTTTTCCTGAAAAATTTAATAATATCAGCTATATTTGTAACAAGCATGTGCATAATTAAAAATATGTTCATTAATACAATTTTTACATCTTGATCCTCCATCTCCTTGTCATGCCTCGTCATATTATTTATAATTCCTGAAGGAATGGGAGATATAGAATGGGAAGATAGAGGAACAGTCATGTGGTTTCTTATATCATCGTTTGCTGCTGCAGTATAAACATTTCTTTGCCATTGTAATCCGAGATATGTATTTTGATCAAATTGACCTTGTGATAGTCCAAAACGTACAGGCCTTTTTTTACGATGAAAATTATTTCTCTGGATATACATGTTGCTTCTATTGTGAGCAAATCTTTCGTGACGTATGTAATTACCTCTCAATGACATTTCTCTCTGAATTGTATTAGTAACTTCACGTGGAGTTGGAGGTGGCATAGATGTTTGCGATGCTATCCATTGCCACGTAGGATGTACCCATGCTTGAATGGGAGTTACTTGAGAAGGCACTGATTCGAATACATGAGATGGAGGTGGAATTCTACTAGATGATAGTGACATAGGAGGTAGAGGTGGTTGCCCAGGCAAAGGTTGAGCATTAGTGGAGGATATTGACGACGACGATGACGAATAATTAGCATATGAAGGAGCATTATGTCCAAAGTTCTCTTGCTTGACAAAGACTCGTTTCCTTTCATGATTTTCCTCAGGCATCTGAAAATCAAGAAAATAGAAGTTAAAAGAGTGCATGCTCTGTGATTCATAAATTTTACAATATGTACGATCGGATATTAATTTGTTGAAACAGTATTCATTTTATAATGTGAACATCGTCAATGCAATCGCATATGTTAATATTACTTAACATAAACAAAGTAACCTAGAATAATCTAGAATTAATATTAACACATGAGAATAAAAGTAAAAACATTATCATTTATGTTAAAAACAGTTAAAACGAAAAGAATGTAGATTAGATATTACCGCGCGTTTCATACTGTCAGACACAAAGTGATTCATCTTTACATTGTAACGCTTTACAAATTACAATGTAAATACATCGTAATGTGAGCATGACAAGTATAGCATAACGTAGTCACGAAGATGCCAGAACTGTCAGAAGATATAAAGATTGCCAACCCTTCCGTGCATACGCGCCCATCACAATCACGGAGTAAAAAGAAGGAGACCAAACTAGAGTACCTATAATAAGAGTACGGCCATCAGGATAACGATCGGTGATTGGTCCGCCAAATTGAAACAAAAGCGGAAGTTGCGTGCCCGTTTGTACTATTAGTGTATAAGGCAGAAAGATAGTGACACTTTTTTTTCTATGATTTTTGGCATACCCAACATTTTCAGAGTGCAATTCATCATCTATCCATGCATGTGACGAGCGATTATGATAGCTATCAAAGTCATACCAAGTAGAAGTAACATGATGAAGTTAATTCTAGTACATATATTGTTATTTTTTGGTTATCTTTCCGTTAATACTAGGGTTTGTGAAACGCTGTGAACTTTGTCACGCTATATCTCTAAGTATCAATCATAAAACTTTATCCCTAGGATGAAAAGTGAAAAGTGAAAATTTTTATCATTAATTTCAATGCTTCAAAGAAATTTTATTCGGAAAAATTCGCAAAAAATAATTTGGATAAAAAAATTTTCAAATTTTTAAATTTAATGTTCAAGTAAAGTCTGTTTTTTTAGTTGATTTTTTGGACTAATAAAAAAAATAGTCCAATATGAATCACTCAAAAAAGTATAATTATTTGAACTATCGAAAATCGATATTTTTGAAGAATCTACATAAATTTACAATTGATAAATAAAATTTTATTATTTGAACAATATATAATAAAAGAGTAATAATATAAGTAGATAAAGGATTGTACATGTATAAATATTATTATAGTATGTATAATTAAATTTATTTAGGATTTAGTTTAGGAGATGATGCAACACTCTAAAGCAATCAATCCGCCCCGGTCGAGCAATCTCCGAAGACTTACAGAAATTCTAAAATTTCTATTATTTATTATATTAAAATATAATTTTTTTTAGTTTTACATTTTCGTGTACTTACTTTTACATTATCCATTTTTTATATTATCCGAAATTCGTAAAGTAAAAGTATATTTAATAAAAAATTAAGAAGGAACGCCATAAACTTACAAGTTACATGGATCCAAAATACCCTCTTTAGTGCAATCTCATATCGAAAATAACGCAAACAAAAAATACTTTTGCAGGCTTATCATATCTATGGACAGTTAAAGTTTTTTTTCAGCTTCAATTCGAGTCTTCAATTATAAAAAAGTTACAGCAATGTAAAAAATCGCAGGGTACGTTGAACCCATGAATACTAGAGTTAAGAAATGTATCTTGCGCGCCGCGAAAAAATATCAATTGGCAATTAGATATCGCAAGATTAGCGTAAGTTTAAAAGAATAAACCAATTAGATTGGTTTTATAAAT